GGGCTGGAAGTTGGGCGGGCAGGGTGGAATCTCCCCCAGGATTCCCTCCAGGCTGCTCCCAGGCAGCTGCCCGCAGGGTGGGCTGTGGGTGAGGATCGGGCCCGTGGCCACCACCCGGGTGGGGAAAAGTGTGAGGGGGTGGCTGCAAAGCCAACCACTGCGAGCTGTGCCCCCGCCGAGCGGGCTGGGAGAGGAGCCACTCCGGGGGGGCAGTGAGGTGGGGTGAGGACCAGGCTGGAGGGTGCTGGGAGCACCCAGCATCCTGGCCAGGAGCCGCTCAGTTCTCCAGCTGTGTTTCTGCTGGGAGTGGATGCATTCTTCATTCCTCCTCAGCCTGTGGGATCCCCGTACGACCCACCCTCTGTGCCAGTGAATAGGAGGGGTGTATCTGGGGATGGGAGAAGCTTTGTTCCTAGAGGCACAAGGCCAAGGTAAGACGGGGGTGGCTTTTTCTTGAGGCCACAGCTCTGCAATACCTTGCAAAGGTTTCAAGAGATTTCAAGGTGTTGAAAAAATAATCTAGGCTGTGGAGAGGGACAGGGGGTGATGAGGAGGAGAGCAGAGTTTAAGCAAGGGGTCACTTCAAGCAAGGGCCAGTTCCTTGGTGAATGAAAGAGCTGGAGCAGGATGGCCCAGCCAGATTTTGCCCTTCTCCCTGCTCTTTCTTAGAGCCTGCTCTTCTGACCCTGTTCCTCCAGAGAGTCTCCAGAGCACCCCACTCCTGCCTGGCTTGCTGGCCTGAACCTTGTGCTCCTGGTCCCTGTGTGTGATGCTCTGAGATCAGGTGAGGGAACGTGCAGCTCCTTGGCTGCCACAGCATCTCCCGGGAGACCCTGCAGAGATCACAAGCCTTTCCCTATCACCCTGCCCCCGCAAAACCAGGGTAAATCCCAAGGGCTTTCAGCTCCTTTAGCCTTGGGAGAAGCTGCTGCTGTGGAGAGCTGCGAATGCCCCGGAGAACTGCGCAGGGTCGGGCTGTGCAGAGATGGGCTGCCCTGACAAACCAGCTGCCTGAGCGTTAATTCCCGGCACAGTCTTCTCTCAGTTGGCACGTCTGACCTCGTGCTGCAGCACAGCAAAAAATGACTGGAGCCCCAGTGAGAGGAAACACACCGGGCGAGTGCGAAGGAGGCAGGGGTTTTGGCAGGGGCACTTGCTGGGGAAAGCAGAGGTGGTGGTGGCAGCTATAGCTGGAGGCCACAGGACCTCCTAACCCCGGTCAGTGCCGTAGTTTCATCGCCTGCACTCGTCTGAGCGAGCTCCAAATCCCTCGTGTCTCAGCACTAAAAATATCCCCGCCGCCCAGAGCTCCTTCCCCAGCCGAGGCTGTGTCATGAGACCCTGCTATTTACGGGCCCCGCTTCGTTCATGCAGGAAGCAGCATGAGGACAGGAAAGGCAGGAGGGCAGCGGGGTGCCCGGGCACAACTCGGTGACAGGCTGTGCCCCTGCCAGCCCCCGTCACCCTGACTGCTGCTCACCCCACAGTACT